CACCATAGAAATGATTTCTGGTAATTGAGTCCAAATTCCCAGTGGGATACAGCTGGTCTTCTACCAACTGCCTACCAGTCACAGCATTGTGTCACCACTTGATGGCATTTGTGCACAGGAAGTGGAATTTCTCCAGGGGCTACTAGGAAGCCTAAGCCTAGCCCTAAACACTAGTAGAATCTTAACTATTGCTTGTTTGGGGTTAAAGAACAAGGTATAGACCCTTATGAAATGAAAATATCTCTTGGAGGAGTAATGAACCAAGTTATCACTCCTGGGCATCTCAATGGGAGTTAAAACCTCTGCTGCTTTCAGAGAACATGTTTTAACAGAACAAAGTATGGAACAGCCATCCATTAGATATGATAGCACCTTAGAAAAGGGGAACCAGCCATTGAAAGGGGAAATGGAAGGCCTAGTAAAGCAAGCTTCATCTGTTTCACAATAGAGCACTGATGACACTGACTTACGTTCAGAACTCTAGAGCTGGAAGAAACCTATAAGAGATCATCCAGTCAAAACCCTTGGGCATGCCTAGAGCTCTATGTTTGCCTATATATGCCCTGATCTCTCAGTTTACAGGTGGGGAAATGGGCTCAGAGAAAGGAAATGATTTGTCCAAGGTCATACAGTTAGAAAGTGGTAGCGCTTAAGCTAGAACGCCATTCTTCTGACACCAAATCTAGTGATCTTTTTTTATTTTTTTTTCCTAGCGTGGCAGGATCAAAGCTCTCCAAGACTAAATAAGATAAAGATATTGCAGAGGTTCTATATTCTCTCTGACAAAGTAAGGAAGTCCAAACAGTACTTTTGTTGTGGTTGTTCAGTCATTTTCAGTTATGTCCCACTCTTTATTACCCCATTTGGGTTTTTCTTGGCAAAGATAGTAGAGTGGGTTGACCTTTCCTTCTCCAGCTCATTTTACTCTGATGGACTGGCCACGTTGTTCAAATGCAAAACATATGATTGCCAAAAACCACTATTTTATAGAGAATTCATGCAAGGGCAAGCATTCACATGGTGGTCAGAAGCAATACAAGGGCACTTTCAAGGTCTCTCTTAAGAACTTTGGAATTGATTGTGTGACGTGGGAGACACTGGCACAGGACTGCTCAGCATGGCGTGCCCACATCAGAAAAGGTGCTGTGCTCCATGAGCAAAGCAGAATTTGAGGTAGCTCAAGAGAAACACAAGATATGCAAACTTAGAGAATCCACCTCAAAGGTTCACAAGGACTATTTGTGCCTGACCCGTGGTAGAACATTCTGAGCTCACATCGGTCTGATTAGCCACAGCTGACACACTAAAACTTGACTCTGGCATAGTGATTGGTCCTCTATGAAAACAAAGGACAGCAACAGCTCATTTTACAGATGTGGAAACTGAGGCAAACAGGATTAAGTGACTTGCCCAGAGTCACAGGAGCTGAGGCCACATTTGAACTCAGGTCTTCCTCACTCTAGGCCCATTGTTCTATCTATTATGCCACCTAGCTGCTCCCCACCCCAAACAGTGCACTGCTCAATAAAAAACATTGATTTTACCTATCAGTATTCCAGTAGCATATAAATGGTTAAGTATCATTCAAACATCAAATGCAACTAGGGCAATAGGTCTCAGACTTTTTGGTGTCTGGGTCCCTTTATGCCCTAAAAATTATTGAGGACCACCCAGTAGGGTTCTTCTTGGGTGTGCTCTGAGGATACACCAGCCAACCTTGAGACATAGGTCTGGCTTTGGAGTGACATATCCAATCAGAACGGCTTTTCTCTGAGGAGCCATTCCCATATAAAGTCACATATAGGACCAAGTTTCACTCTTGGCCAGTCACCATAAAATACTTTTACCTAGATCCAGATCCTTCCCCAAAACGCAGCCATGATACTTTCATGTGACAGACGTGGATCATTTCAGGGCATACAGGGCTGTGTAATTAACAAGGTGGATGGACAAATCTGACCACTCTGCCACAAAGGATCCCTGGGCACCTTTGCAAAGGGTTAGCTCGGGTCAGTGGTGTTTTGTTTTTTATTTAATTTTTAACTTTTTTCCAATTAATAAGATTTTATTTTCTTTCTCCCACACTTCCTCCCACCTTTAACAGGGGAAAAAAAAAAGAAAGAAAAACAAAACCCTAGCAAAAATGTTCCTAGTCAAGTGTTTTCTGGACCAAATTACAGGACACCAAAAATAGAAGAGGTAGTTCTTTCCCTTAAGGTAGTGGAACTACAAAATAAATAAATGAGAGTCCCCAAAGAAAGGTAAATTGCAATAAATACTAATGGCTCCCATTTTATGGCTCTTAAACATTTTCAAAACACTTCATACACATTATCCTTATGATAAATAACGCTGTATGGCAGGTACAAGTGGGTGAAATAGTGAATAAAGTGCTGGACTGGTATTCAAACCCTGCCTTTGCCATTTACTAGCTGTGTGACCCTGGGCAAGTCACTTAACCACTCAGCTTCAGGTTCCTCATCTGTAAAATGGGTATAATAATTTATTTGCATCATTGGGTTGAGGTAAGGATCAAATGAGATTTTGTGTGCGTGTGTATGTGTGTATATATATATGTATATATATATATATACACACACACACACATACACACACGTATATATGTATATATATGGAGAGAAAGAGTGAAAGAGAAAAAGAGAGAAAAAGAATGAAAGAGAGAGATAGAGACAGAGACACAGAGAGAGAGAGAGCACACTTTGGAAGCACTACATAATGCTAGCTATTCTTATCCCCTTTTGTAGATGAGAAAAATGAGGCTTAAAGAGGTTAAGGCAGGATTTGGGTTCAGGATGTGGTTGTCCCCTCTCCTCAGGGATTTTCAAGTTGAGGTTGGATGACTGCTCGGGTATATATTAGTTATCCCTTCCAGACCCTGACCTTCCCCATCGCGGTAATTAAACGGGAATTTTTGGGGAGTTTTGTGGAAGCTGCAGACAACACACAGAAGCCAACAGATGACAGAAAAAGTTTAGAAACTCAGAAATGCAGGATTGTTATTTAAAAGACTATGATGTCACACAAGAAAAGTCTAAGCCCTTATATGATTTCCCAAAGGAAAATGAAGGTGAAGGGTCTACCCCTATGGATTGTACACAGATTTTCCAGATCATAGGGACACTGAACCTCTAACCACCATGATGTGGAAGGGATAACTGCAGTAGGGATTCCTTTCATGTATGGGTTGGGCTACATGGGGACTGAAGTTCCTACCAACTCTCAAAATCAGGCGATTCTGTGATTCTGTGAAGTCTTTTAGATTGCAGGCCTAGTACCGAAACTATTACAAAATGCTTCCCAGTGAGGCAGTGTGTCCTCCCGTAGAAGATGACATTCAGAAAGATAGTCTTCCCCTTGCTTACGATTATATGAGTCTCTTATGACAACTATCTCTCCATTTTGTAGTGTTGACCCCTCTCTTTAGGATAAGCATGATGACAATAGGAGCAGATGTGAAACTGGAGAAAGAACCAGAGTGTGGCTTTGTAGATTGCCTCTTACTGCCTTTTTAAGAGAAAATTTGCCCCATCCTTCACCCTTTACTTAAGAGTTTGTTCAGGGAGAACATAACCTGCATGCGTGAATGGATTTATGTGATTCTGTGATTAGGTACCATTTAACTGGCTTCCTCATAACTGGCATTACAGCCTTTCTGAGCCTCTGCTTTCTCATCTGTAAAATGGTGGTTGGAATATTTGCATTAACTATGTCCCAGAGCAAAGCTCCTCATAAAGAGTAAATACACAAATAAGAGTTCTTATCGGTAATGTTCTCTTTGGGCCTGAAGTGGTTTGAGAACAGAGTCCACAGGAAAATAATAAATAGGAGGGAAGAGGGAGAATATTTTCCTGTCTTGTTTTCCACCTTAAATGAGTGGAAAATTGGAGGTCAAGAGACATCATTTTGGCCTGTGACCTCAGAGTTAGTCATTGTTGGGCTTATATACAAATGATCAATATAACAGCTAGTGGCTTCTTTCACAAACTGACTTATATTTAGAGACTTTATATTTTGTTGAATTTATTCCCTTTATACTTATTCTGTGTATTCATATATGCATACACAAACTTACACACATATACACACAAACATTTGGTTGTTATTATTCAGTGGTTTCAGTCACGTCAGACTCTTCGTGACCCCATTGGGATTTTCTTGGCAAAGATATTGGAACGGTTTGCCATTTCCTTCTTCAGCTCATTCTACAGACAAGGAAACTGAGGCAAACAAGGTTAAGTGACTTGTCCATGGACAAACAGCTAGTAAGTATCTGAGGCTGGATTTGAACTCAGGGTTTCCTGACTCCAGACTTGGTGCTTTATCCACTGCGCTACCTAGCTGCCCCAAGTACACATATACACACATATATACATATATACGCACACACATACTTATACATCTATATCAACACATACACATGTATATATAATATACATACATATAAAACACATACATATAATAGATACACATATATCATAAACATACACATAACATACACATATACACATGTGTACACACAAATACTTACAGATGTAGAGATAAAATGTGCACTCCTTTTGAGAAGGCATTGTTTCTTCTTTTTTGGTCTTTGTATTCCCAATAGCTACCCTGAAGTCTGGTACATAGTGGATATTTTACAAATGATTGTTAATTGATTCTGGATCCTGTTTATTTCATTAGATTTGGCTTCTGCACTTTCAGTATTAATACTGAAAGTATCATCTGTATTGTTTTGTACTTATTGATATGTTACTCTTTAATTGTCCTTTTTGTTGCTTTGCATATCTATGTCTGTCTCCTAAATGAAGTTATAAGCTTATTCAGAGAAGGGATCACATCTACTTTTTTTTTCTTCTGTTCAGAATTTCTAGAACAGTGATTTTCACAGAAGAGGAACTTATCAAATGTTTAAGGAAATTGTTTCTTAGTTGTTAAAAACAAAAATTAAAATATTTTCTTTGTTTTTTTTCTCTTCCTAGACGGTTCCACAGCAGAGACAAACAATGAGCAAAGATGCAAACTGTGTTTCTCTTTACACTTCTGTATCCAAAACCAGTTGTTTATTAGTATGAATAAAAGTCACTGTCTTAATCATATAGACTCGATAAAGGAAAAGGGCTAATCACAAAGACATGAGTTGTGTTTCTCTTTACATTCCTGTATCCAAAGCCAATTGTTTATTAATATGAATAAAAGTCAGTGTCTTAATCATACAAACTTTGTAAAGGAAAACTGCTGATGTTTCCCAATTATTCGAATGTTTTGATTTCACTTCCTTCTTTGCTATGCTTCTGCCTCTCAGAATTTCACCACCTTCTTCCGTGTAACATCTCTCCTCCAGGCTCCCCCCCTTCTCTCTTCAGTGAGCTCCTTTTGTGGGGAAAGAAGGGCTTTGGAGGGCTATGCTTCACTCCCTTCTTGGCTATGTTTCTTACTCTCTTCCCAGTAAGGTACCACCCCCATTTCAGCTCCCATTTATGTGCTGTCTTTCTCATTAGAATGTAAGCCCCTAGAGGGCAAGAACTCTTTTTTTGCCTGTATTTGTATTTCTATTGCTTTGCACATGCCTGACATAGAGTAAACAATTCATAAATTTGCTTGCTGCCTGCCTGTCTTCTGCATTTACAACCAGAAACTCTGACTTAATCAAATATTATCAGGTAGTAATGCCTCTGATCAAATCAGAAAGCTTTAACTAAATGAACAAATAACCTTATGACTAGAAATATATAAAAAAGCTCTTAACCATCATGGTTGTGCATTTATTTGAATAACAGTTACATCCACATTCAGCTTTTAATCCTTAAGGAGCTGAAATGAAATTCAGGAACCAATTATGACCTCCTTCAGGGACTGAGGGATTTTTTTTTGTTCCTGAATAATTTTTTTAACTTACATTTTTTCTTTCCCCTTCAAAACTGGTTTCTTCTGTCCTTTGAGCCAGTTTGCTTTACAACGTCAGAACCATTTCTCCTAGTGCATCGGCATGGGTGTAGAAAGTAGTGCATAGAACACTGAAGTAAGAGGCTAAGTCTTGGGCCCTAATGTCCTCTGGGCCACTCTCTAGATGTGTGACTTCCGGCAAGTCATTCAACTTCTACCAAGCTCTGATTTCCTTATCTATACACTGGAGATAATAATTGCCTTATGGGTCCCATTGACCCATCTGAGGATCAGATGCAATTGTTTGTGGAAATGTTTATAAGTTACAAAGTTCTGTGCAAATATGAAGGGCCCATTATAATCAGACAGAATCACTTAAGAATTGTTTCTGTCACCCAACTATCCCCAAAGGGTAAGTGTTTAAAAAAAAAACACAATGGAAAAACAGAAAGAAGGAAAAACAAAGTGAAGAAGTCTATGCTAGGAATTAGTAAGGAGGGGGGAAATGAGAATGGAAGGATGTGTCTTGAAAAGATGGGGGCAGAGGTAAAGAAAAAATAAAGCTCTTTCAAAGACCATCAAAGCCATGACAAATATATCAAGGATTGATCTCTCAGCTAGAAGCCCAAGTATTGCTTATTTAAAAGGGTAGACATTGAATCATTGATTTGAAGTTAGAAGGAATCTTAGGAAGTATCAAATTCAGCCCCCTTATCTTACACATGGGAAACTGAGTCTGAGAGAAGTTCAGTAACTTGCCCAGCTTACATATCCATTAAGCTTATGGGGTGCAACGCCTGGAGTCTGAAAGACCTGCATTCAAATCCTGCCTCAGATGCTTACTAGTTGTGTGACCCTGGGCAAGTCACTTAACCTCTATTTGCCTCAGTTTTCTCCTCTGTAAAATGAGAATAATAATAGCATCTACCTTCTAGGATTGTGGATTGTTGAGAGGATCAAATGAGATAATAATTGTAAAGCACTCAGCACATTGCCAGGCACATAGTGGATATATATCTATATATAAATGTTGCTATATAAATGTTAGCTTTTTGTTATTTCAGTTGTGTCTGACTCTTCATGACCTCCTTTGGGGTTTTCTTGGCTAAGATACTAGAATGGTTTGCCATTTCCTTCTCCAGCTCATTTTACAGATGAGGAAACTAAGACAAACAGGGTTAAATGACTTGCCCAGGGTCACACAGCTAGTAAGTGTCTAAGGCCACATTTGAACTCAGATCTTCTTGACTGTAGGCCTGGAACTCTATTCACTGTGCCACCCAGCTGCCTACTAAATGTTAGCTACTATTATTATTATTGTTGTTGTATGTGAGGTAGGTTTTGAAGTCAGATTTCCCTAATTGCATGGCTAACCCTCTGTCTGCTGGGCACTTTAGCACAACATCCTTTTTGAAGGAGGATTTTGAATGCTGAATACCATATGTTAGGGGTGGGGATCAGGTTACCCAGAAAAGCAAGTTCAAAAACATAGGCTGTTACCCCCTGCCATTACTTATGGGTTAGTCTGAATGTGTTAAGGGATCACAGTGTGTTTAATGCACATTCATTTTTTTTTAAAGCTATTTCCCCAATATTCAGGAATTAACTTTCCAGCCTTCTTCCTTTCTCCTCTACTGTTTTCTCATCAAGGTCTTGACTTTCCTCCTCTTGGCCTTCTCCATGGTAAGAAGCCATAATATAAGCATGTGCTCTGCCAGAGATTAACCTGCTCCTTGGAGGCTTTGCCTCTTACATCTGGGTCCCCCCCACTTCCAGGGTTTGTCACGGTAACGAAAGCTCGGCTCCAGCTGGAAGCCTGGCAGGCTGTTTCCTCCAGCGTGCCTAGTCACGGTGGTATGTGATCCAGTTTGGCTCCTTTTAGTAACCACCGACCACTGTCTGTCGCTATCATCTCGGCTCGGGTGGTTTGGAAGCCACAAGAAAGCAGAAGGCAAGCGTCTTCATCCATTTTTCTTGTGATTTTATTAGGCTTTTATCACCCCAAGCCACGGAGGGTGTTATCACCCGAGTCAGGGAGCTGGTTTTAAAATAGTACCACTGGTTTTTTGGAAAAAAAATACTGTGGGGGGAGGTAAAAAAGCCAATAGCTTCTGGTTTCCTGTGATTCCATGACTACTCTATGATATCACCATGGTCTGATGCGCTGAATGAATCATTTCTGGAATGATGTTAACTTAGAGGCTATTTCCCCCGCTCTTATGTAGCAGTTATGACAGAGCATCCACATGTCCTCACTCTTCCTAATATTTTCCTTTCATATATATATATACGTGTGTGTGTGTGTGTGTGTGTATGCGTATCCTTTCCTATATCATACATATATGTATAAACCTCTTTATTAAAAACACACACAACTATGCATATTATGTAAGCAGATCTTCTTGAAAGTATCCTTATTAGTAGGAACTCTGTTTTTAATTCTTGTTATGGTCAGAATTCAGTATTATCATAATTATTTAAAAGTTCTTTTGGGTTTTTGTGGCTATCATAGCTTTTTTGAACAAAGTTTATGCTACCATCCTCTTCAAAGTACCATAATAATTTTTTAAAGGAAGTGATATTAGGATTTTCGAGAGTAGGATTAGAACTCCTAGCCCTTTTTAACATTAGAAAATAGTCAATTTCCTCCCACCCCTACCTCCATCTTTATTTTTGGTTTGGGCACTAAAGCAGGTAATAATTAGGAAGGAGCTTGGTATATTCGAAAGAACCATTGGTTCTGGGGTCAGAAGGCCTGGATTTGAATCCTGTCTTTGATACTATATACTCTTCCACTCCTCTCACTCCTGCTGCTCTCCCAGGCTTCAAGTTTCCTAATCTGTAAAACGAGAAAGTTCTAGAAGTTCTTTCCAGTTTTATTTATTTATAAATTAATAAATATTTATATAAATAAATGTCGTATATCTACTACGTATATATGTGCCTCGTTGTTATTGAGTTGTTTTAGTCATGTCTGACTCTGCATGACCCCACAGGGTTTTCTTGGCAAAGATACTGGAGTGGCTTGCCATTTCCTTCTCCTAGCTCATTTTGCAGATGAAGAAACTGAGGAAAACAGGGTAAAGTGACTTGCTTGCCTGGGGTCACTCAAACAGTAAGTGTCTAAGACCGAATTGAACTCAGGTCATCCTGACTCCAGGCATGGCACTCTATCCACTAAGCATCCATGTGCCCCATATGCCTACCACATATATGTACATATATGTATACATGCACACACATGAGCTTATACATGGTTGGTTGTTGTACTTTGTTCTCAAAGAAGACCAAATAACACTACAATGTTATAGTCAAGTCACAGCGTGTCAGACGGTGGTTGATCAGACCAATGTTCTACCATAGGTAGGGCACAAATAGTCCATGTCAACATTTGGGGAAGATTCTCTAAATCTGGGCATCTTGCATTTCTTTTGAGATACTTCAATTCTGGTTTGCTTACAGAGCACAGCACCTTCTCTGATGTGGGCATACCTTGCTGAGCGATTCTGTTCCAGCATCTCCCATATCACGCAATCAATTCCAAAGTTCTTCAGAGTGAAGGTATGTGTCTGTGTATATGTATGTATGTATGTATGTATGTATATATATATATATATATATATGTATATATATATATATATATATATATATATATGTATATATATGTATGAAAATACTGATTTTTCTGGAATTAGAGTATATGGACCTAAACTGGAAGGGCCTTCTCTGTCTATGGTTTAGTGGGACTGGTAGGATGGAAGCCAGGCTTTCCTTGTGATGCTTTTTAGAATTAGGCAGTGCTTTGAGACACAATATGGGAGAATTATAACATATTTCTCCTGTCACTCTTCTCTCTCCTTCCTCCCCACCCCCACACCTCCAAGTCTGCAAGTCTGTCCTCTATTGGGAAGAAAAGAGAAGAATCTTTTCCTACCCTATTTTTGATCTGTGGCATGTTTAACTACTTGGCTTAGGGTAGCCCCTCCACAAAGCCATTTTCCCAGCCTAGTGTCCCAAGGACACTAGCCTGACTCCACCCAGGGCTCAGACCCTGACTCTCTGGCCTATGCTTCCATTTTTTTCTCACATGGTACTTTCCCTCCTTCCACTTTTCATCTACCTTTAATGTGTTGTCTTCTCCCCTTTCCCATATTATTATGTAATCCCCTTGAGTTTGTATTTATATTCCCAGCGTTTAGTATACTATAGCTCTGGCACTTAGAAGTACTCAATAAATGCTATATCTAATCTGGATGGAAAACCTGGATTCCATTCTTACCTTTAGGCTTGTTCTATTTGCAAAATGAGGGGATTATGTTGAGATGCTTGAGCTAGATTGGGCTAGAAGACAGAATGGTTAGGATACTGGGCCTAGAGCCAAAAAGATGGGTCTTCAAATCCAGCCTCAGACACTTTGACTTGCTGTGTGTGATCTTGGGCAAGTCCCTTAAGCTCTGCCTCATTTTCGTCATCTATAAATGGCACCCACCTCCCAGGGTTGTTGTGAGTAGCAGAGCTCTGACTGGAACACAAATCTTCTAACCCAAACTCGGTGCTTTTCCTATTATGCCCTGGACACAGACAGAAATGAAAGGTTTAGTGCCTGCCCTCCTGGAGCATTGGCTGAAATAGGACCTTTTAGGGAAATGACTCAACCCTGAGCTTTCACTACCAGTCTTTCAATTCAGCAACAAAAACAAAAACAAAAAAATTATCTCCG